GGGGGGGGGGGAGGGGGGCAGGGGAGTCACGATTTGAAAAGACAGTTTTGTCCTTAAAAAATAGGCCATTGAAGAAGAGAGACGAGGTCTCCGACTCTCCCATTTTGTACGCTAATGCTAGGCCGAGGACATTCCCGTAATTTCAGCCTAAAAACGTAAATAATCAATTGCTATTTTTTTCTAATGTGTTATCCCTTCAATCTTTATGAGATTTGTTTTTGGGCTTTTGTGTTGTAATCTGAGTGTATGTGGGGTTGGACTCTTTTATTAATTTTTTTATTATTAGATTTTTTTTTTTTACTTACTTTTTGGGGATACCAAGTAGTTAGGAGACTGAGTATTTTCTTTCCTTTTTTTCCGGTGGATTTGAATTTGATTAGGAACTCTGAGATTTCCGGTGTGATGAAAGGGCAATCCAACGGCGGTGTCAGAGCAATCACTTCACCGGACAGGGTGGCGCCGGAAAAGAGACCGCCGTCTAATCACGACAACCACCACCCCCACCATAAATCCGCCGCTACATCAGACACCAAAAAGGGTGGGTCGTCTTCCGGCAGCGGAGAAGCCCTAGCGCCACCGTCGCAAGGGCAGCCGGCGTGGCCGCCGAAGTTCGTAATAGCTCTAACGAACAAAGAGAAGGAAGAAGATTTCATGGCGATCAAAGGGTCAAAACTGCCTCAGAGACCCAAAAAACGAGCCAAACTTATTCAACGCACCATCAATGTAAGCAAACCAATCTTCTCCCTTCTTTCCTTTTCCAGATTCTTTCTCACCTTTTTTACTGTTCCTTTTCCATTAATTATTTCTTTTTCTTTTTTTTCCTTGAAAACTAATTCTCATGCGCTATTATTATTATTGCTTCTGCTTTAATTATTTCCTCTCTTTAACCTGATTTTCCCTCGCAAAATCCCCATTTTACGAAATATATATATATTTCCTCGCAATTATTTATCGACAGAAATAAATAAATAATTGGGATTAAATTATAAATTCTTTTAATTAAAAAAAGAACTGGGGGTGAGGATATTCTTGGGGGGGCTGAGAGTGGGGTTTGTGGAATGCCACGTGGAGAGTTGTGATTTGACTGTTATTGCCGAAATTGAAGCCACAATGTGAGTGAATGAATGGGCTAATCAATTACTTACCGACAATGAAGGGGGCCGGAGATGAGTTGTCCTGTCGTGGCGTGGAATAGGCAGTGCTTGGTTTTTTCTGTGTAATAATGATACAATACAAGGGTAGTTGCGTAATAACACTTTTTTTTTTTAATAAAAATAAAATATAATATAATAAAACGTTGTTTGGTCGTTTTGGGATTTATTTAATTTGTGTGTTTGGTTGGGGGTGGCAGCTGGTGAGCCCAGGGACGTGGCTGTGTGATCTAACGCTAGAGAGATACGAAGTTAGGGAGAAGAAGATTTCTAAAAAGGTATAATATCTATTCTTAATTCTTAATTTTTAAATTCATTCAAAAAAATTATATATTAATTTGTAAATTAAAAAAAAATTAAGAAGTTATCTTGTTTGGATGCAGAGACCAAGAGGGCTGAAGGCAATAGTGAACATGGAGTCGGATTCGGAGTGAGAAAGGGAGAGTTTATCATATGAACAGAATCAACAGTGTTTTGTCAAATGATTCGTGGAGAAGAGGGGAAGTTTATGTGAATTATATCATATATTAAAATATATATATATATATGAATATTAGACTTCTCTTGCCTAATGTTACCTTCTTTTTTCTATTTTCTATTTCTGAAATACATGCTTCTTTATATATATATATGTATATATATAATTAAAAAGAATAAATTAAAAGAAGAGGAATTTATGACGTCGGACAATTGATTTAACTGCGTAAAAAAAGTAAAAAAAGATAAAGCAACATCTTTTTGGCAGTTTCGTTGTGGCAATTGACGCCCGCCGTTCGTTTTTCTGTGCAGTGTGCAGCCTTTATATTAAATGGCTACTCTTTCTCGAAAGAGGAAAATAATGGAAAGAAAAAAAAAAGAACAAATTTCATAATCTTTCTGCAGATGCGAGTTACCTTCTTTACATCTGCACAAGAGTTTAAGGGTTGTTATGATATAAAAAGATAACAGAAAAACAAAAGGAACTCAATACGAATCCAACTTTGACTTAGAATAAGAAAGATTACACCAAGACTCTAGTGTAGTGGACAGAACAAATCCATCAACCAATATAATATGCCATTTATTTAATTGTCTACATGCTTTGGATTTCCTTCCTAGAGAAGTAAAGGCATAAAAGGCAAGCATGTTCTGTGCATTAATTCTATAGCTGTAATTGCCAACCACAACAAAAATATATTGGAACCTTTCACTTTCGGCTCATTATTCACATCACATGCCTCACTGCCCCACATATTCTACTTCCACTACAGCCACACCAGACTCAGACAATTGGACTTGTATTGGTCCAAATTTCATAAATGAATGCCTGCATATCTTTGAACCGTAGAATTGAATTAATTGGAATTTTTCCATCGAAGTTCTAGATGCCTTTCTTCAATTTGAAAGACAATTGCAGAAGAGATCAGTTCTCGTGAAACTAGCAGGTTGTTTTTGGTTAATCATGAAAAATCATCGGCAATAGAACGGAAGATCACGAAGAATGATCTCGAGGTTCTACTGTTGCAGGTCAATGTCTGGATCGATAATCGACGAGTTCACATAACAATGCCGGAAAGACGAGAGAAGAAACCAGGCGGAGAAGATCTAAAAGAACGAAACAATTTATTTACTAATCATAACGACAAAATATAGGACAAACGTCATCAAACCAATACAGTCTGCATTCTATATATAAGAATGTGTAAACAAAAGAGGTCCTCTGTACCAAAGGTATAGAATATTAAAATCCCTTCGAAAACGTCTAAAACAAATTCGCCCACCCCAAGGTTACTTCAAGAGAAAATCAGAGCACAAATACAACGAATCATGGCAAAGTCAATCACCATATCTCGAGGCCGATACTTCAGATCCTGAGAGTAGATCCGAAGGCGAGAGCAACGAAGGCAGCGACGCAAGCGGAGACGAATGACGGAGCAATGGAGGTAGCAGGGGAGGCAGGGCTGGGGGCGGGAGCCTCAGTAGCAGCGACGGAGGCGACGGCGAAGATGATGGCAATGAGAGCCACGAGAGAAGCTTGGGAAACGCCGGCCATTGATTCAGATATTTGCTTGTTAGGGTGGTTCCGGCGAGAGGAAGGAGACGAAGAGAGGGATCGAAAGAGATTGAGAGAAGACCTTTAGCTTTGAATTGTAAATGAGAAATGAAAATAGTGGAAGGAGATATATATAGAGAGAAAGAGAGCGAAAAACGGGAGAGAGAGAAAGTCGGGCAGGTATTCGGGCAGGGGGCAAGCAAGCTGGCGATTGGTTGAATGCCAGCTAATATTTTGGCGTGGTCCCCTATTTCCCACAGATCATCAACGGGAATATATGCGTCTTTCCACCGCACAACGTTTAAATAAAATGTAATTTTTTGTTTTAAATTTCATTTTTTTTCTTTTTCAGTTAAACTTTTGAGATTTATTCTATTTATGGTTTATTCCAGTTCGAAGTTCCACAATTGGAGCAAATTATTTATTATTTTTATTAGAATTAAAAGTCATCTTAAAATAGTTATACTAAAAATTGGTAAATATATAAAAAATTGAAACATTTTAAAGTTGTAATTAAAAATAGTGGTTATTTAGTTTAATCTTAACCTAAAATTTAATTAATATATGAATAATAGGATTTAAAATTTCACTCTTCAAATTAAACAACGGTGTCGTTTCATTCTTAACATTCTCCGGTCCGTTGCAAAAGTGGAAGATTCTTGGGCATGGGGGTTCAAAATTGATGGCGCGTGGTATATACGAAAACAATCGGACGGCGTGGATTGGAGCGTGAAGATACGCCAAAAGGCGAAAAGACGAAATCAATGAGGAAGAAATAAACGGAAAGCCACTGAAACAGCGAAAATGTGTTAATAATATAAAAGAAAAGAAAAGGAAAATGATGGGTGGGGCCTACACAAACGAAGGCTGTGAACTGTGAAGGTCAATAATGGACAAATATAGTTAGGACTGTGGGGCCCAAGATATAGAGACAGCGCAGTGTGGTTAAGAAATGACAGGCGAGAGTGATTGGCTAGTTGATTTGTGTGGTTTTTGAATATCGTTCCAGAAACTTCCTTCCCGTCTAGGAATCAACCTTACATTACAGATATTTTTTCTGATTTTTTTTTTTTCCTTTCAGATGATATATTATTTAACTAATTAAATTAAATTAACTTATCAATAAGTAAGAGGAAACAAAATAATGAGCATTTAATTACTAACACAATTGATGGAATCGCCATCCTCATCGCCATCCTCATCGCCAGTACAAGTGAGAATGATAGGAACCGTCAATCGGAGCTCCCTTGCTCTCCGCCGCCGATTTCTTCTCCGGTTTTGGATTCTTAACCGGAATCTCCTTCCCGACGGCGGAGACTTGGGATGAGGAGAAGCAACAGCGGAACTTTCGAGAGAAGAATCTCATTTCGAAAATTTGCCCTAATCGAGATCCTGTAATGTATTCGTGGTGTTTCTGTGGAAATTGATAATTAATAATATTGAAACATTTATAGTGTGAAGATGAAGAAGGAGCAGATGGCATGCTGTCGGTCCATTTGCTTGCTCTACAAGGAGCTGCCGTGCCTCCCAAGCACCACGCGGCCTTGGCCGCTTTTGGAAAGGGCGCGCAGACTGACGCCAGGGTTGAACTTCCAAATAAACTATTTCAGTTCTGTAAGTTTTTTTATTTTACTTGCAATTTAAAAATATTTATTTTAGTCCTTAATCATCTTAGTCATCTTGGCCTTGTTATGGTTATTTTAGCTTTTTCTCTTTCATTTTGATCCTTAGTCAAACCCAATTGTTATCATTTCATTTTCAACACACTTTAATAAATGAAATTACATCTTATTTTCAATAAATAATTTCCTTTCTATTGTACTAAAAATGGTATTGCAAAATTATTTGGCAATGGAGTTTTTGTTTATTATTTTTAAAAACTAAACTCCATTTACTAAAACTCCAATTACGAGTTGTTGAGAATGATCGCCGCCTCTTTCAAGACCAGAATGATTATCCTTGTCCTTTAGCCTCGTTGGGAAGGGATTGACCTTTCTAACGCATATTCAGTCATATTGGGATGATCCAATCGATTTTTTTTTCGATTGGATCGTACAACAGTGCAACCTGGTTCTACTTGACTAACCTAGTGATCCTCCAAAGAGGGAGTTTGCTTTACCCAAACTCTCTTTTCGATAACAAGATAGAATCCCAGACCCCAACATTAAAAAAGAAAATATTTAGAGTAATATAATAATTTCAGTAATAATACTCTAATTACCATCTTAAAAAGTTTGGCGTTCAATCCTCATCAATTACGGACCAAAATACTTATTCTTTGTTAAAATTTGAAAAAAATTGAATTAGGTAGCAAACAAAGCATATGATTGCTTATAACTTGGGATTAGTATTCTCAGATTCATTGTCCATTTCATAAACATCCTTTGACACTTTATTTGGGAAAAGAAGACGTTGGCTGTTCATTGAAGTTTTAACCATTTAAGTTCATTTGAAAAGCATATGACAGAGCCCTTATGGATCCCATTTCAGAAATGGAAAATCTAAATGGGAAATGGATGAGCAGAAGTTAAGTCATGCAAATTTTGTAATTTAGGCAGAGATGCCATGCTAAAAACATACCCACACTGCTATATAGGATTTCCAAACTCCCTCTCCAATCATGTTATGTTTGAATGATTTCTTAGACATTCAACAAGCACAGTTTTAGTCGTTGGTTTGTGGTTTTAAGGTGTCGAGCAACCCGAGCTTCGTCGAGAGTTTTTCATGGGGAAGCGATTCTTGCTCGGAATGTTGGTTGTGACATTGACAGTCATAGTTTGTGGAGCTGTGGAGGGTGGTTCGCTTTCTAAACAGAAGAGTTTGAGAATGAACTCTCTTAGGAAGCAAGCAATAAAAAGCATTCGGGTACCAATCTGTGTTCTTGTTGTTCTTCTTCTTCTTAGTCCTTCAATCTGTTTTAAACATGGAAATAGTCTGTACAGAGCTTGAACTTACAAAATCTTTGCATGTGTTAGCTTTTAAACCATTTCTATATGTGTGAGATCCCACCTCGGTTAGGGAGGAGAACGAAACATTTGTTATAAGGGTATGAAACCTTTCCTTAGCAGACGTGTTTTAAAAACTTTGAGAGGAAACCCGAAAGGGAAAACTCAAAGAGGACAATAATAGCTAGCAATGGGCTTCGGTCATTACAATATCAATGTTTAACTTTCATAGCAGAACGATTTAGCTGCACTTTTCTTTCTGGTTGCTCGTAGAGCGAAGATGGCGACATCATAGATTGTGTAAGCATTTACGACCAGCCTGCTTTTGATCATCCTGCTCTGTGGAATCACACCATTCAGTTGGCACCCACTTATGATCCCACCATAGATGAGCATTCAAAGAAAGCAACAGCAGAAAGGGAAGGGAAGGAGGAAAAGAATTCCATGGTTGTGAAACAAACTTGGAGGAAAAGTGGCAGTTGCCCTGAAGGAACAATACCGATTCGAAGGATCCGAAAGCATGTCCTACTCAAAGCTGAATCGGTAGAACGCTATGGACGAAAGAAACCGATGTTTTCCCAAGAAAACGCTCAGCTTCCCATCACCCGAAGTTCGCATACTCTGCTAACGAATCGTTCGGTTCGATCGACAAACATTTCTGGTCCCTTTGAATTCCATGTTTTTCTTACTCTTACCATCTACTTAACAATGGTGCAAAACAGAAGGCATTTCTGCTTACTGCAGGAAACAACTACAATGCAGCTAAAGGAGACATTAAAGTATGTAACCCGAGGGTCGAGTTCGATGACGAATATAGTACTTCCCAAGTGGCTCTATTAACCGGCCCTTACTATAATTTTGAGGCTATCGAATCCGGATGGGCAGTAAGCATAACTTTTCACCAAAAAGCTCAACTTAGTTAACGCTCATCCGAATTTCCACAGATTTTAACTCGTTTACATCATGATTTCTTCAACCCTCCAGGTAAATCCAGGTGTTTACGGGGATAGACAGACTCGACTGTTCGTGTATTGGACTGTAAGTTCATGCAGGCAACTGGCTATATCAGATAGAAAGTTGATATCTCAAAACAGAACAAACTGTGAATTTTTTTCTTTTGGTATTACTATTAGGCCGATGCTTCCCAAAAAACAGGCTGCTTTGATCTCACTTGCCCAGGTTTTGTTCAAACAAGCAATGAAATTGCTCTTGGTTCTGCTATTTATCCTATCTCAACTCCCAATGGGCTTCCATATGAAATAATTATGTTCCTTTTTAGAGTAAGACATGATGCAGTTTGCTTTCCAAAGCCATTTCATGCTTCTTTCTATCTTGATTCTTCATCTTTCCTACAGGATTTCAAGACAGATAATTGGTGGGTGCAATATGGAGAAAGCATTAACATAGGTTATTGGCCTCCTGAGCTATTCGGTGCACTAAGTCACACAGCAGAAACAGTACAATGGGGAGGGGAAGTTTACAGCACCAAGATAGGACGGCCTCCTCACACTAGAACAGCTATGGGCAGTGGAAGGTTTCCTGACTTCATTTCTGGTACTTCGGGTTGGGTAAAGCGGATGCGAGTTCGAGATAACTCCATGGTTTTGATGTTTCCTGGTTGGGTTGAGCACTACTCCGATGAATACGATTGTTACGACGTCGATTTCATCCGAGATTATTTAGATGATCCTGAACTATACTATGGAGGACCTGGTAAAAATCCAAGGTGCCCCTAAGAGACTAACAAAATTGGGATGATTACCTCTTTTGCTTTCATTAGGCTCCTTCATGTAATGAATAACATAGAACTATCAAAAAGAAAGCTATTTCTTTTGTTTCAAATTCTCCTAAGCATACAAGTTACTGATACAGATGAGGGCTATTTCATTAAAAGAGTAATAATCAGATGCCAAAAGTGTATAGCGCACGGTACCTCACTCACATTTCCATTGCATTGACATGTAAATCTCCAGAAATGTATTTACATATGAATAACCTATCCTGAGGACGGGGAACGGGGGTGCGGGAGATAAACAAAACATTATACCCGAAAAGCAGCGTGTAAAATAAACTAATAAACAACATAATGGGACAATTCAAAGATAATTGAGGCATGGAGAAAGAAAAAGGGGAGAATGAACTTAGCTAAATTGAGTCATACTGTTGTCTCTCGTTTTGAATAGATTGGAAAATTCGTGCAGCTGATTCGTTAGCGGATCTTCGATTGTGTGGCACAACTCGAATCACGCGCGTTTGATCGGAGTCTGAAGGTTGAGGACCTTTTTCTACAAGCAGCGGAACTACAGGGGCGAGTGGAAGCACATCGTGGCTTTCAGCGGTTTGATTGGCTTGCACTTCGCTAGCAGGACTAGTTACAGGACTACTTGCAGTACTTACTTGAACCTCATTCCTTTTGGGTGCATGAGACTTTGGAGTTTGTGAAACAGTTTCTTGATTTTCATCTCTATCTCTCTGTGTTGAAACATCATATGAAGTCTGATGCTGCATATTGGAAGCGGCCACGCCTCCCGATAATTGATTTAGATCTCCTGTGGACCGGTTAACTTGATCGACAGCCGAACCTGACAAGCCCCGGTTCATGACTGGCATGCCAAAAGGAGGGAAGTAAGTACCACCAACCATGGGAGTGTTAGGAAGAGCTCCAATTCCTTGATGAACAGAAGCTGGAAATCCAAAGGATGGATTCATCATTGGACCATAAGGTCCACATCCTCCATAAACAAATCCTGGTCCAGGGTAAGGCTTATATATGAGTCCTTCAGAAGGAGACATTACAGGGACCAACCAGTGATGACCTGTAAACCCTGGTCCAGGTTGCGGGTTTACTGAGTAAGGCCCACAGGTTGAAGGCTGACACTCAATTGGCGCAGGAGGAAGAGATGTCTTTCCAACAGCATTTTCTGCTGAACATTCAACATTGTATTTTGGCTTCCTGGGACCATCACTGAGCTTAGGTTGCACGTGTGATTTGACGGTGTAATGTGAGGTAAGTTTCTTTGCAGGAAGAGGGGTTGGAGAAGAATTATCTAGAAAGATACCGTCTTCAAGTATCAGACGAGTTGATCCAGCAATTAACTGTTGAACCTGTTTGCACGATAGATCGGTTAAGAGAGAAGTGAATCCAATAATGTGAACCTGAGGAGGGCACAAAGGCTGCTATTTGAAGAAATTAGATCACTTTACCTTGACAAGTCTATGCAACTCAAACACTTGGACCTCGAACACTCTCTGTTGACTGCAGAATAATAAAAGTTGAAAGAATAAATCAAACAACATCACGATTGAAATCAAACCGCGACACGTGTTGAAGGTAATAACAACAATCAATTCATAGCATTAAAACAGAATCAACTCATAAATCTTTCTTCAGGGAACAAGAAAAGCTAGCAAACATACTCTTCTTAAGTGATTCTAAATCTAAATAAGAACACTACTTTCATCCATAAAACTGATTCTAAATCTAAATAAGTTCTGTACTGTCAAAATATCCTCCAACAAATACACCTGGAATCCTTCATATGCTCCAATTCTGCTCTCAGCCCCCAAGAGCCATCGAACTCTCTAAGGAAAATTTCGAAGTGATTACTTTAAAAAGGAGACCGAGCAGTACCCAACCAAGACATTCATATATTTACACGAAGCAGAATCCAGTTGTCTCAGAAGTTACTGTGCACATTGCATAGTTCCTGCTATAAGATGATCCAGTATCCATGTCAAAATATTATTGAGGGCCACAAAGATTCACTTAAAAGGGTACCTGAGAGAGATTACGAGTTCTTACCTTTTCTAGTGACTCGTCATTCAAACATATCTACTTCTATATTTCGAACTTTGGTACTTGAACACACAATTAAATGAAAGAATTATGTGAGCGCAAAAAATCACGAGGGATTAGACAGAAATGAAATAGTTCAATGAAAAGGAATTGAAATGCATATCATCTAAATTTTTAAATTTAATGTTGCCACGGATTCAGATAACATTCAACCTTCATATCATTTATGTAAGAAGCATGGCACTTCAGATGCATCAGGAAACTTACTTAATAATTGCTCTTCTTGCTTTCCAGAAATGTTTTTGACCTATTATTCCTACAACATCATCTGGACAGATATCAGAGCCAGAAATTGAGTCAACCATTGAATTCTCGGAGACAATGTCGCTTTTGTCCGCATTCCCCACCTGCATGGAATTATAAGTCCTTTCTACATGGTTCTCAATATTGTCAACAGGAATGTTCAAGCTGTCATTCTTTCCCAAAGAATGGGAGTCCACTCTCAAGCGCGGAACATTGTCTAGCTCCCCAATTCTTGTAGGCTCAACTACATTAGAAGATGTAAGACGGCTTTGACCATTTTCATAACCAGCTTGCAAAACTGTAGAACCAGAATGTTTTGATCCAGGAGAAGAAAACTTTTCCTTGAGGTTGCTACTTTTAACTCTACTTTTGCCCATCCTGGATTGGTCGTATACTGGAACCGTGAAATCGTCTTCATCTTCTACTTCTGTTGTCTGCTGACTCTGGTCAGGCTGAACCGATGGAGGATTCACATTTACTTCACCGGATGGGAGAGCTTGAGAATTTCCAACCTCATTAGTAGAAGTTGGTGAAGACAGGTTTAATGGCAGGCGCAGATCTCTATCAGTCCCTGTACCCTGAAAAGATTTTAAATTGGGGTGTTAAGAGCACAATTTCCGGAACGACCATATTCTTGTGGATCTACTAGCTCCTTGTATGTGAACACATATTTTCACTAATATATGTAGTGTCTGTCTGTATTAGGATAAAATTAAATCGATTGAACTCGTTTGCAATGATTAGTCTGATTCAAAATTGTTAGCTATGAATGACAAAGTCCATATGTAATGGAAAGATATAACAGCTCAAGCTCATCACTAGCAGATATTGTCCTCTTTGGACTTTTCCTTTCGGGCTTCCCGTCCACTGGGGAGAGGTTTCCACAACCTTATAAGGAATGTTTCGTTCCCCTCTCCAAGCGATGTGAGATCTCACAATCCACCCCCTCGGGGGCCAGTGTCCTCGCTGGCACATCACCCAGTGTCTAACTTTGATACTATTTGTAACAGTCCAAGCTCACCACTAATAGATATTGTCCTCTTTGGGCTTCCCCTCAAAGTTTTAAAACGGCGTCAACTAGGGAGAGGTTTCCGCACCGTTATAAGGAATGTTTCGTTCCCCTCTCCAACCGACGTGGGATCTCACAAAAGAACAATTAAATAAACTAGAAGTAAAGGAATAAGTATTAGCCAACTATAAACTTGCTCCAGCAATGAACAGACATGAACCAATATAATCACAGTTAAAAAGCAAAAGATCAAACGCATTAGACTGATTAATCCAATAACATGCTATGAACTTCCCCAAATCCCACATCAGATTAAAAGCTCAGCTGCAAGAGTCAGTTTTCCAACCTGGCTTGAGGATGGTGTGGTAACTGGTTTTCTGGAGATGTTTGTCTTGAGAGGTAAAACCCTGTGACTCGATCGTTTGGATGGTATAGTGAACTGTTCATAGAGGGCCATCTTATTCCTTGGAGGCGCTCTTGGCCAACCTTTCTCAGTGTCATTAACATGGAGCCTAGGGAATATAGGTTCCACCGTCTTCTCGTCATCCTTTCCTCTCTTCATCGTTTCTTCTCCCAAATTCAACCCAAAGAACGCTTACAGTCAAATGTTTTTCAACTAAGATCGACCTTCATCTGGACTTCCGATACCAAATACGTACTTCAAGAAGCTAAAAACTAGCCTCATAAGTCGATAAAATCTATAAAATGGTCTAATTTCATTCAATCAGCTCGGAAATTTGCAAACCCCCAAGAACCAGCTCAAAGTCCGCAAGATTTCCTAGAACAAGCTTCCATACTCCAAAATACAAACAAACCAACAGACAAAATTGAAATCTCTTTCTTCTTCAGTACAACTTACCCGGAATTCAAATCCGATCCAATTGAGCTCAAACTTCAGACCAAAATGGATGAACAAGAAGGCCAGAGTAAGAAGAAACAATTAAAGAGGAGAAATCGGTAGCGGGATAACAGAATCGGGAGGAAAGAGAAAGAAGAAAGGGTAAGGCTTAATTCATGGATTTCTTTGAAAGCATAGACCGAAGAAGAGAAAAGGGGCAAAAGTGCAAGGTCATGGTCCCAGTTTGGATTGAGCTACAGAACATGATCTTCGTTTACTACCAAACGCAATAGTTGGTCAAAAAATAAATTTGAAAAATGGAAGAAAATAAAACGGAAAAAAAAAATGATTTAAAAAAAAAAAAAGACTACATTGGGATAAATATGGGAATTAATCCTACTTTATCTTGTTCGAAATACTTAAATATGTTCTACTAATCATATATAAATTATAATTATTTTTATCTTCAATTTAAAAAGACACAATATATAATTTTCACATTTGACATTGACCAATTTTCAAGCATCTTACCACAAATGGCTCCTTTTGTTAGTGTACAAGAATCATGATCAAATAATTTCCTTAATTATTATTAGTTTAAATATAGATATATAGAAATATCATACAGTTTAATCTCTACTAAAATTAACCAAAAAAGTTGGATATTTTTCCCGATTTAGATATTTTCACAAATTTCAAAAAATAAAGGAAAAATATCTTTTTGTCTTTTTGCTTTTTTGTCTTTTTACAGCTCATTACTGAATCCAAGGTCCACGTAGACTATAACGAACTAGTAGGAGTATTTAACTCATTAAAATAATATTATAAATAAATGAATTGGGCTAGTTCCTTCTTTTAGATAATAAAATTGAGACCGTTTATTTATTTATTTATTTATTTAACAAATATTTGAAAGAATTTATATATATTTAACAAATTTCATAAATGAGCCACCGACGTTAATATTCCAATTTCTCTGAATTATTATGAATTTATAGTTTATAGTTTCTTTAAAACATAGGCCGATCTTACCGTCCAATTGTTTATTCACAATCTGCCTTATGAACTTTTAATCTCCACCGTCCAATTTTTATTTATTGCCCTTTTTCTCATTTAGCATCTGACTCACGGCCTCCACGTAATGACTGGTGTAATTTTAATTGCCACGTGGAAATCATTTTTATTTAGATTCGGTATCTTACAGCTGCCATTTGCGAAATGCTAATTTTTAAATAGTTTTTTTAATGGTCAATTTTGAAATTTAAAAAGAAAACGAGGTTCCAAATATATTTCTTTTTTGTGGATAAGAAGGAAAATAAATTAGTTTAGAATAATAAAGTAAATTAAATAAATAAGTGCCGGTTTAAGATAATAACTACTAAGTCGTGATTGGATTGAGGAACTGACAACTCACAAATAAACATATCCGCAATTTTTTTAATTCTAATCCCAAAATAAAGAAAAAATGTAAAATTAATTAGCACGATTGTTTATTTATTAATTTGACGATTAAATATTTATTATATTTTTCCAGTTCATCATCGTTTATTAAACTTATTTAGGGTAATGAATTGTTTAGTTTGAATAATTTATCTGTTAATATTTGGGTGTTAAATAAATTCTTAATTATCTAGATTATGCTCGTGTCATTTCATATGAAAAAGGCAGAATATTAAGAAAAAAAAATACAAAATTCTTTCCAAGTTAAAAAAAAAAAAAAAAAAAAAAATTAACAGTGAGAGAAAATTTATCTTTTACTCAAGTAGTCAATTTTGTTGATGAGGTTGAATTATTTTGAGACCTTTCATTAAATATGTTACCAGAAGAAACCGTATGTACGAATATTATTATTAATTACCAAAATTAGATTCCAAGTATAAAAGCACCAAGTTCAGAGAGAAAATTGAAAGATTCGCTCAAATGGCAAACACTCCTTCTCACCAGACGTATATTCCTCTGCCTTCGGACTCAGGTCACTCTCTCTTTCCCCTTTCTTGCGTTCTTGGATTGAACTTCCATTTTCATTCATGATCAATTTCATATTGTTTTCTTTGTCTATCTTTCTTCCTCTTAATGAATGCTTCGTTATTGCAAGTTCGTGGTCTATGGATTGACGTGCGATTCTTCGTAGCAAGTTGTTTTCTCTCTTATCGAAGCTTTAATTGCTGTTTGTTTGGCCAATCAGAAATCGTGGAATATACTTGACTGATGTTGGAAACTGAATTCTGATGCAAGAGAATCACAATGATGTAGTTATCAATGGTTAGAGTAGAAGAATTTGTTTGGAAACTTCAAAAGACATGTTGCTCTAAGTATAGGCCTGTATTTTCTCTATTTCCATCGTTCTTTCACCTTTTTACGTCACTTGGATTTAGTTCCAGTTGCTGCGGATAGGTTTGGTTTTCTTGATTGCTTTTGCCGCGCACGGTTGCTTGATTACTTTACCCGCGCATGTTCCATCAAGTTTTTTAGTTAGCATCTTCATTTTCGCTTCGAGACGATGGAATCTTTTCTGTGGTTGATAGTTTGCGCAATGTTTGATATAAAATAGAACTGGAGATGTTAATTCTCCTCTCGTTCTCCAGCTCCTGTCCTCCATACGATCATTTCGCTCCAAGATTTTTATCATCTTCCAATGTTTTGGTTTTCTTGATTGCTTTTTCCGCGCACAGTTGCTTGATTGCTTTACCCGCGCATGCTCCATCAAGTTTTTTAGTTAGTATGTTTGTTTTCGCTTCGAGACGATGGAATATTTTCTGTGGTTGATAGTTTGCGCACTGTTTGATATAAAATAGAACTGGAGAGGTTAATTCTCCCATCGTTCCCCAGCTCCTGTCCTTCATACGTTCATTTCGCTCCAAGATTTTTATCATCTTCCAATGAGTTCCATTTCATGCGGATTTCAGGTGAAAATCAGAACGATCCTGAAGCCAACAAAACCTTGGTTCCTATTCATATTGTTACTCATGCATCTCAACTCCCTAACGAATTTGTTGATCCATCACCTGAAAAGCCTCTGGTAGTTGGCTTTGATTGTGAAGGTGTCAGCCTGTGTTGCCATGGAAGTCTTTGTATCATGCAGGTAAATAAAATGCTAAGAACAAATCGCAGTTTTACCATCCTTGTGGAGAGTGAAATTGTATGGCAGAGGCAGATGTGCTAGCTAACCTTCCCAACTGAGGGAGTCAATGGTTCTAACTTATAATTTCATTCTTTTAGTCATCTGGTGATACTGTCAATTCATAGTCCAAGCCGCTTTCTTGCAAGAAAACAGCTAATATTATAGCTTAAGAAATTTAATTAGCGCTCCTGGATAGTCCTCGACTTGTAGCTATAGTAACTCATCCTTTAAATTACAGGGGTTGATTACTGTCAAAGGCTTGGACATTCAAGAATGTTCAGTTTCTACTTTACTAAAAAACAGTGATTCAAATTAGTTGACATTATCTATAAATCTGTGTTGTTCATTTCTTGGCAGATTGCATTTCCAGATGCTATATATCTGGTTGATGCTGTTCAGGGAGGAGAGGAACTTGTGAAAGTCTGTAAGCCTGCCCTTGAGTCCACATATGTCACGAAAGTTATTCATGATTGTAAACGAGATAGTGAGGTCTCGTCTGAACTTTGTTTCAGTAACAGATTGCCGTCACAGAGACATGATATGTTTTAGCTAATGTTGACTCTATTTTTTTCCCTGTAGGCATTGTACTTTCAGTTTGGTATTAAGTTGAACAACGTTATTGATACACAGGTGATTATCAATTGTGAGAAGCCTGACACCTCTTTACTTGTTTACACCCTTTTCTCACGCATTATATTTTATCTTATTTTAGAGTGCTTAGCCACTTAGTGTGCCAATTTCATGTTACTAGAACATAAGAATATTTTTTGTGCTTTTCTTCTTCTATGTTTTCTTGGATAGAAAATGAAACTATCATATCAGGAAGATGGATTCTACTATTCCACTGATCGTTGTTCCATTATTTCTTATATAAGTTCCTAGAAGTTTTCATGATGTTAATTTTTCACATCTACTTTGCACTTGTACGATTTGAATCTACAGTCTGCCAGTATTTTTATAAATTTATAACTCTACGTACTCATTTTAAAGGTTTATGTAAATTTTCTCTCAATGAGCTCTAATCTTAACTTACTATGGATTATTAACTGATTGAAATCTGCTATCTGATAATTTTTAAGGTTGAGAGTCTGCATGTCTTCAAAAAGGAAAAAAGAGAGAGAGAGAGAGAGAGAGAGAGAGAGAGAGAGTGGTTATCTTGTGACACAAATGCCAATAAAGAGTATGATTTTCTTGATTTAAAAGAATGATCTGAACAATTCATTTTAAGTTTGAGTTACCTTGTAATTACTTTGGAGCCAAGTGTTTGTATGTGTAAGCTGCAATATGGAGGAAGGCTGAGTTATTTGGACCTTCCTGCTTTAATTTTCAATTGTATTACTTGATTCAGATTGCATATTCACTTATAGAGGAGCAAGAGGGATGGACAAAGACGCCAGATAACTATATCTCCTTTGTTGGTCTTCTTGCAGATTCACGTTATTGTGGTATTATACTAATCCTGGTATCTAGATATTCTCCATTCTTTATCATGGAATTTCATGCATTTTTCTTTTTCTTCTAAATATCTCGGATAAAATTACCTATACTCACTCAAAAATATGAACTGATATTTCTTATGAAACTTCAAAAGCAGCAAAGCTTGATTTATTGCTTGCCATCTTCATGTTAAGAAGCTCCATACTTACTACTTATTTTGAGGGTCGTGTTTCCATGAGCTGCATGGTTGGGGATGGTTAATTAACCAGAACCTCCTGCCTGAAAAGGAGAAAAAAAAGTATAAATTTAAATTTGGAAGCCATCACATGACTAATCCCTAGCGGTACGGTGGAGGGACAATAATTGCACTTGGTTAATTGGATCTGTGTCTCTAAGCGAAATTAATCGAGCTTGTGGGTGCTATAATAACATCAACATAAAGAACTTGATTTTAATTGGAAAGGGAGCTTCATAACACTTCTCGCCCCTTTCCATCTCAAAATATCGAGCTCTTAATTTCATAGACCAAGTACAAGCTTGAGAATTGTGATAAGATTATAATTGGAAACGTTATGTGGATTGCGCATTCATCTCTCGCATACTTTGTTTCTCATTCTTAATTTTGTGTAATGTTACAATTCTGGTACCAAGGAAATCAGAATGACCGACTAGGAGCCTAATTTTAGAGTCTAAAGGCATCGTACATTGATTGTGTACACGTAATGTTTCTCATTCTTCATTTTAGAGTCTTTGTAAGCACGAGGAGGTTAAGTAAAGTATAACCAAGGGGTTCAGTGCTCATGGGGCTGTGTAAGAGAATTGCATTTCATGCATTCTCCATTCAAAACTGTTGCTATTCGTGCTTGTGAAATGAGAGATTCTTGTTCTCATAAAGATGGCCGTATATTTTTCATTCCTCTTGGTTGCCGTTGTAATACCCTTTGTTTCATTTTTCTTTCTTTCCCTTGTTTGTTGCCTGGAAACGTTTCCTTCCTGGAGAAATCTACGTGAGCTTTTTTTTTTTTTCTTTTTTCTTGTTACTGAAAATGTTGGTGGATGTCGCTTGGATCTAAATTGTTTGGCATGCTAATTTAATTATCAGAATTTTCTGGAAGGAATAATCTAGATTCTACGTCTAAGTTCTTGTGGTCAGTGGAGAAGTTGACAAGCTTTTGTTATATGAATGCATTTCTTTATTATTTTAAAACTTAATGCTTTTTGCTGCTAATGCTTACATTTTTACTATATATTGAATTAATATGTAATCCTCGCTCATAAATGTAGGTGTATCATATGTGGAGAAGGAAGAGGTCCGCCTCCTACTTAGGCAGGTTAGTTTTTTCATGGTCGTATTGCTGTGGATATTGTTGTATCTTGGCAAGAAGTGTTCTATATATTAAGCATTGTTTTTCGTTATGAGGTATTTTATAGGTCAGATGTGCTTGATTCCTAAATGTAGTATCCTTCTTTTGGAGTAGACAAGTATAAATATAATGTAGAGACAATTCAAGTCCATTGAGCTAACAAAAAGGACATGGAAACTAAGATTATTAGTCTGCAGGTACTGTACTTATGTCCATAATATGATAAGATTCAAAATGTTATCTCGTCATAAAATTATATGCAGGTATCGTGTAATTGTTCCACAAGTTTATGTATCTTTGCATAAAAACTAAATTCTAAATTTGTATTTGACAGGACCCGAAGTTTTGGACCTATAGACCATTGTCTGAATTGATGGTCCGTGCAGCTGCTGATGATGTACGCTTTCTGCTTTACATCTATCACAAGTTGATGGAGAAATTGAATCATCAATCGCTGTGGTACCTCGCAGTGCGTGGTGCTTTGTACTGCCGGTGTTTCTGCATCAGTGATAATGGATATGCTGACTGGCCTCCCCTCCCTTCTGTTCCAGGTTTTCTTTAAGAACCCACCTTACCATGTGCAGTCCATATAATGAGAATAATTCCAAATTTAACGTTCTAATATGCTAAGTTTATTAAACTATCATTGCAAACTTTTCAACATAATATGATTCTGTGGTGTTTCAATATTGTTGGCTTCTTTTATGTTATGATTTCACAATTGATTGGGTTTAAAATTTAAAGTGGCTATTTAGCAATGTGAGAAATGTTGGCTCACCATCTTTCATTCAATTATCCCAATGCTGCTGGAATCTGCAAAACATCAAATATGTTAAAATTTATAATGTTGTATTATCTAATTATTATTGACACTTGGTATGTGGTTTCTATCCTTCGGGTTCTTAGACTACGTTTCATTTCAAATCTTATTTTTTTCATTTGATGCGTCTAAAACCTTTTGTTACATGGTCTCAATTGATCACCTTTATTGGTCTTACATGTTTTTTCAGATAACCTTGTAGTAGAGGGCAAAGCTCCTGAGGAAGAAATTCTTTCAGTCTTAGACATTCCCCGTGGAATGATGGGTCGCGTAATTGGTAGGAGAGGAGCCTCAATTTTGGCAATAAAGGAATCTTGCAAGTAATTCATTATCGACAAATCCCTTTCGACTTCATTTATATCCTTTAGGCTAAAAAAATACCATAGCCGTTGTTTTTTCTCACCTTGGGTTCTTAAAATGCAGGGCGGAAATTCTCGTTGGCGGCGCTAAGGGCCCACCGGACAAGGTAAGTCTCTCTTTTCATTCACTTCAAAACAGACCACTATGAAGCCCAAAATCCTGTTGAATGTTGATGGATATTGAAAGTTGTTCTGTCAAGAAGATGAATGTAATTGTGGTGATGTAGGTTTTCGTCATTGGACCCGTGAGGCAGGTAAGGAAGGCAGAAGCTATGATACGAGGAAGCTTGCTTGAAATATGATTGAATGAATATGAAAACCGTGTTGTGATGAACATGAACGCAAAATCCTCAATATTAAGAATACAGTTTCAGCTGCTAATACTAGTAGATCCCGTATGGAGGGGATTACTTTACATACTTCACAATCTTTTGTATAGGTACAGTAGCTTTGAGAAGCAAATTTTATGTGAAAAATATTATCAAATCAAAATATGAAAATTGAAATAAAACTTTGTTTTTACCTTCAAACTTAATAAATCTAAAATAAATTCAAACCATTAATTCACCTGGGCCAAATGTCATTCAATTATTTGTTTTTACCTTCAATAAGTTATTATCAATCGATTATTATACTGTTTTTTTTAACCATGCATGTATTGTACTATGTTTTATTTATTGAAAAATTGTATCTTTGAAAGGACCTCTTCAGTGATATTTAAGCCGTTTGTTGTCTATGAGAGTAATGAACTGAACTCTTTTACCAGTCTAGCAACAAGGTAGAGAACCAGTCTTCAAAATGATAGGAATACAGAAATTTAGACAACGGGAGGGAGAAAGAACTAATCGACTCTTGAACAGAAACGTACATAATTCAAAGGCTGTACTATTCACACAATCAAAGGTATTTAAACCATTTATATCACACAATCATTTATAGATGGTGTATTTTAGATCACTTCTTATCCGTTTTTATAAAGTTCAATTGCTCATGTCTTACTTTCGCAACATATTTAATAAAAAAAGAGCACTATTCCTTCATTCACAGTAACTCAGTAAGATATAGAACATTTTATATTATTATTCAAGGCATTTCCTCGAATCAATTAATATGTGGCGCATATGCAAACGCCACTCTCCATAGGGCTCGAGGTTTTCTCGCACACTCTTTGCAGATCAACAGGAAGAAAAGAGGCACGAGTGAAAGAATAAATTTACTTCTGGAAACCACCAAATTGATATTGTTGACCAGAAAGTTGTGAAAAGAAATCGTCTCCAATCCCCTGCGATCCTGTCCGACCAAGACCAGACCCTGCACCCATTGCTTGCCCCATGTGATAAGTAGGTGCCGGTCCTTTCTCCCTCTCGTTTGAGAAATCGCTCAGTCCGCCCACGACACCGACTTCTATCAGGGAAACCTTCTTGGCTGCAATGCATGCAAGCAACTGATGTATTAACTATCAAGGGTGCTATGAAAACAACGCATACGAGGAACCATCGTTCCCAAATACAATAAATTAAGAGAACTAAGACAAGATCTCAAAAACTGATGTGAAGTTCAAATACCTATTTAATACACCTAAAGTTCAAGAACTAGATTTATAAATTAAAGCAATTTAATACGTTCATCAAGCCCCAATCCAAAGTTCAAAGACATTCCAGTCCGGAATATTGTCTACGATGCGTCCCAGTTAGCTCAAGAAGAAAGGAAGAAAGCAGGGAATAAAGAAGAAGGTCAGTGAACGGGATTGTGACAGTTAAGATAGACTTACGAGCGGAGATATTAAGATCAATCAATCCTCGACTAAGTGAATCTGCCCAAATCCCAGACTTGACCTGGAAAGTATTCTTCTTCGCTGGGGCTGTTGAACTGTTGATAAATTTTCCATCTAAATTACAAGATGGGCCACCAACAGGATTCTGGGAAGGTTCTGAGGACACTGGTTCAGAACGCGAAGAAGTTGCACCCAAAAAATCTGATCCATCAAAAGAGTTAAGTGGAAGAGCAGCAAATGGATCCACAGTTTTACTGTCTCTTTTTGTGCTAGCAAAGTTGGTTTCTGTTTGCACAACCGGCTCAGCAGAGGCAAAAGGGTCAATTGGTGCAGAAACTGAAGCGGGTTGTGAAGCTTTAATGTCTCTTGCTGCACTGGCAAAGTTAGTTTCCGTTTGCACAACTAGCTTAGAAGAAGCAAAAAAGTCAATTGTTGCAGAAACTGAAGCAGGTTGTGAAGCTTTACTGTCTCTTGCTGCATCGGCAAAGTTGGTTTCTGTTTGCGCAACCGGCTCAGGAGAGGCAAAAAAGTGGACTGTTGGAGAAACCGAAGCCGGTTGTGAAGCGAATAGATCAATCTCAGTCTGTAAAAACCATATATTTTTAACAAAAAACAAAAGAAAATCAATAATCAGAAAGAGGCACTTGCGAACTCTCCAGTCATTTTCGTAAATATAATTTTTTTTATGAGATAATACTTATCGACTTAGTTTTTTATGAGCTAATACTTTCATGGATCGAAAATTTTGATAAAGATAATGAGTAGAAGTAAAACGACCAGATCACTGTTAAAACACCAAAATGCTCGTTGGTATATAAAAATAAAAATAACTAGTTGTTAAGGTACCATCCACCTTTCCAAGACAGAGATAATGCTCTGTCGCCCATCTGTGAAAGAAATGAGAATTTTCACACCTTCCACACGACTGCACCTTGCATTTTTTGGCTTACATTCCAGGCTACTTCAAAATAGCTTTCATGTACTCTACCCTCCGGTTTCTTTGCACATTCAGTGCTTCATTCATCATACGCCTTTCTTCTAAGCCATTTATTTCATCTATCTTGGTTTGCAACTGCCATTTGGAATCCTCCACCTTTCCAAACTCATCCGCATTCCATCTCAAATAAGCTATTTCAAACCTTATAATTTTTCCACAAAAGCAAACCCTGGTCAGCCATGAACGCTGAGTTCCACCATGCTTCAATATTACACATAAATTGAGGGTGATCCAACCAAATATTCTAAAAACGAAAAGGAGTGGGAACCCATTTCTGATTGTTGAGGTTTAATTGAAGGGAAAAGTGGTTGGAAGTCGTTCTCAAAAGTATGTTCAGCTCAATTACTTTTAAACTATCAACCCGACGATGTGAAATGAGAAACCTGTCAATATGGCTGGCCAGAGGAGAACCTCTAATGTCTGACCATGCGAAGACCCCATTCTTCATAGGGATATCAATCAAAGCTAGCCCCTCTATAAGATAGCTAAAGTGCCACATGCTTCAAGTAATTCACCCCCCTTTTAGCTTTTCATACTTCTAACAACATTGAAACCCCCACCTATATAACAACAATCCATGCACGAACCATACAGATCACCTGTCAACCTGCCTCTAAAAACATTTTTGAAAATTAAGAAAATGGATGGCTATTAAGAACCCAAAACAGAATCTATAACCTAGATACTAGACAAGTTCCACATAACTAGAATCCCTCCAGTTGTCCCATCAGCATCCAAGGCCAGCCGTTCTATATGCCTCAAACTCTAAACTGACTCAATAAGCTTTCTATCAATTTTTTATAACTTAGTCTCTTGAAGAATCACTACAGACGAACTAATCTTCGTCAACTACACCTTCACAAGAGCTCTTTTGGAGGGAGCTCCCAGCCCTCAAATATTCCATGAGATCACTTTCATAAGGAACTATCATAGCCTTGAACTACAATAGTTCCCTCCACCTCAACTTTTCTCTCCAAAGCTTTACGTAATTAGTAATTTCCCATTTTTCTTCTTGACCTCCGTACTACCTTTGGCCGAAATCGGAAAAGAGCAAAAAAAATAAAGTAATTTTTCTATTAAAAAAATGTTTGTGGAATTTGGCTAAAAATTCACAAAAAGGTGAAAACCATGGTTAAACAATAGCGAGGAAACAAACCCAACTTCTAAAAATAGAAAACAAAAAACAAAATCATTGATACCTTAATTATTCCTAAAGAGATGCATATAAAAACAGCTAGACAACGTCTAGTTTGGCAGAGATGAGAATTTCTGAAAGATTGGATTTCAATCACATACCTGAGAATTTCCAAAATATTACCAAGAAACGAAAGTGCACAGAAAAAGATGCACGGCTTTTTTGAGCTAAATGTGATACTATTCTTGAACCAAGAAGCAAGTCTTTTAAGTTAGCTAAATGCAAGAAAGTGATTGCAGTAGCAAAAGGAATTTGTTTTTTCTCCTCTTCTATGGAAGAATGTATTCATGGTGGAATTTAATGACATTTCCAGAAGTATCCTTTACCTTTGATGGGGAATTTGGTTCCTTTTCCACTTGCGCTGAAGCTGATACAAAAGTAGCATCTGCAAACAGATCAACCACCGGAGAACTGCTGTCAGGCTTTCCAGGAGGAACAAGAGTTGGAGCATCCATGAGATCTCCGATTAAACTGTCTCCAAAAAGATCCACCTTTTTGGGGCTTGGTGCAGCAGCTTCTGCCAAAAAGTTCAATTCAGAATGAATTATTCATTTGTTTTTCTAGTGTTAGCCTTTTTATGGTTTAAGATTGTCTAACCAATTTAGTCATCAACGATATTTCATTTTTCTAAAACGGTAATTTTAATTGAAGATCACAAGATTTCTCTTTTAATATTTATTATTTATTATTAGCACAACTCTCTATTTCTGGATCTTCCCTTGCATCATTAAGTTATCAAATGTAGTTGTCAACGAACTACATGAAATCAATAAGGAAGAAGGGTTTTACTCATCTATGGAAACATCCATCAAGTGATATCTTACCACGATGATGATATTAGTATTTATACTAGTCCTTATTAGAGTCTTCAACTAGACTACGCTTGTTATCAGCCAATTAGGAAAATTTTAGTCGACTTTAGCCAACACCAGGAGAAATAGTTTGATACAATAAATTTCAGATAAATGGAGAGACAGTGACAATGCAAGAGAAACCACTGAGAATTTCTATGAACCAAAATCAGCGCATGTGGATCATATTTCACCTACTATCAAGATAAAAAATTTCACAACCCTCCCTATTTACAAAGACAAATTTGTATTATATTAAACCATCTCTCATAATTTATGCATTAAATCAGCGCATGTGGATCTAATTCTATTTTACTCGTTAGTTTCAAACTAATTTTATTTTATAATTAGCTTTCCGTTGGTTGTATAAAAACCTAAAAATTATTTTATATTGAAACAATGGATCAAGACACATAATGTAAGAAATGGTTAAGGAAAACTTAATTGTGACAATTGAATTATTTAAAAAAGAATCACGCAAAATAAGTACAAAAAAAATTCTATTTTATAGTCCTATTTGTAAATAGTATTTAATGTCCATCTACTGGAAAATGTCCACAAGCACCTAAGCTACAAAGCCACGTTCATCATTAATTCACCAATTATCTTATTGCAACAAAAGAAGCACAAACATTTCAGAATTCAAAATACTAACTTGTGGTGGTGGTGGTGGTGGT